TAAGTCGAAAGGAGACTGCGACCATACCCGAGGCCACAACATCTTGGTCTTCACATCTTCAATTCAACTACATTAATTATATTCCGATTTACCAGGTTCCAAGGTTGCCAACAAATCTTGAATAAGAACAGTTGCTGTATGGTGAAGTCGAAATTATATGCTGCAATATCCATGTTCGATTCCCATTTGAGGTACTTAAGAGACCAAGACTCTAAATATTAGGCCTTCATCACCTTATACAACTAAGGGTGAATACAGCTCTTAATAGACAGATATGTGTTTCACGCTGACTTAATAAGAGTTCGATTTAGTTGTATCTGCATACCGAAAGATATCATAGGATTGGCTTTATCGGTCACAACCACTAACCATAAACTCCTCATGAAAAAATAAAGAATGGTTTCACTTGAAATAGAATTTCCATATTCTAGCAGTTATTGCGGCTGGGTGCCACACCATTTCGAGCATGATCTAGTTTTAGTTGAAACTAGCCGGCAGATCCCTTGTATTCACGGACATTCTAAGAATGCCCGTCAACCCCACTTGTTCAACATAAAAGTTGAGACTGTCTGGTAAATATTTTCCAGCTCTAGCCGCGAGCATGAAATAAATGCCTAAAAATACCCCCATACCAGTCATCTTAGCCCCTTTAGGCAGAACGGTTGTCTGAATAAGAAGACGACTAGTGGATGCCTTTGGGTTAGATAATGACAGAGTACAGAGTATCAACGGAGCAAAATGTACCATCTGCGCGACTTCACACCAGATCGGCACTTGGCTTGTTGGCCACAGTTGCGCAAGACGAACAAACGTTCCACTGCTGCCAACTTTGGCAGCACGGCTTCTTTGCTCTGACCAGGTTGCAGTGGGCGGGCAGAGGAGAGAAGAAAGAGGCTGGCGATTTGGACGGTCGTCATGCCTCGAAATTGACACGTTTCTAACCGGTCCGGATGGAACTTGAGATGGACCGGAGTAAACAGTGTTTGCCTGCAGATGTTCAGGCATGAAATATCAAGGCATAGCAGTCGAAAGCAAGATTTAGGCGAAAGAGGTGTGGATGTGGGTGTGGATGTGGGTTTGTGTATGGGTGAGGGTGTGAGCTAACGAGTTATTGGGTCAGACCAGAACCGTAAGTTTGGGGTATGAAAACTTAGCAAACAATTTTGATAGGATGACAGTACAAGCTATTTCGAACTTTTGACAGGAGGAAAGGGGCGTCGAACCAACCATACTAGTCAGGTTACATTAGTAGCGTTGGCAACACAGGTGGCCTTTTAGGAATTTCATCTTGTCTAGAAGAAGGGCTATTCCATCCAGACAAATGGAAATGGTCACACCGCTGACACCAGGCAGGCCCGAGCCAAATGGGCCCTGCCAACATGGATATGATAAAAAGGATGATATTTTATTCAAATCAGTTGGGTTTTAAATGCATCCTCATCAGGCATTCATCACCAACTAGCACAAGTGCATGCCCCCAATTTCCTATCCACCCAACCACATTTATCCATTTTCGCGCACCTAATGCATATATACCTGACTGGCTACCCAGTCCACCCGCCACCTAACCGCAACCATGGCTATCCGACCAACCGCCTAGTTACCGGTATGGTTACACTTCCAACAACACCTATTACCTATCCATTTATCAATGCGTCAAATCTCACAAGTTCACTTCCATTTTGAGTTGGAGTGTTTGGGGAATAGATTCGAAAGGTCTTCCATCGGTCCCTCTTGCTGTCCCTCTTGGTCAGCTGTCGATTTGCATTACTGAAACATTCTTGCTTACGAGACAATCTGCTTCGATTCCGGTGAAAACAAGCTAAGCTTTCTTCTTTTTTCGTTTATAAGTAGGTTAATATGAGATGTATTCACCCAATTTCGTTTAAGCTGATTAAGGACTGGTAGAAGAAGAATTTTCCCACAATGATATGAGTTAAGCTGGAGTTTCCATTGAATTTCACATAGCCTTTCATTCCCTAAAGTTTTTCTCATCCAGGTGGTAACGTCAGCTCAACTCATATCATTGTGGGAAAAGTCTTCTTCTACCAATCTTTCATAATCTTAGACGAAATTCGATGAATACATCTCATATTACAGATTTACTTAATTCGAGAAATATAAGTAGGCTTTCGATACTACCAGTCTCATATATATAAACAAATCTGTCGTCCGTAATATGACTGACATCATCAGAACAGGATGTCATTCTTAAAACCATATTCAACTGACGAGTCAAGTACTCAAACCGGCCGCTTATTTCATGCTACTTGACGAGATAATTTCCATTCACATTGACATCCTACTGTCAGTTTGCCCCAGATTAAGCAAATCATAGGGCGAATAAGAAGCTCGGCTACTGATGCTGGTGTGCTGTTACCAATGTGTAAAAGTTTTGGATGTTTTTTTATTAAAGTACTGACAAATCTGTTCACACTTGATTGAATAGAAAAATGGCTTGATTTTTGAATTAAACTTTATTGCCCTATTCATCACAGAATGCCGTTTCTCTCCAGACTGGCCGAAAATTTCAGTCTCACTACATAGTCACATCAGTAAATAACATGAATTGTTGGAGGTTCATAAATTTCCAACACGAATATGTACAAAGAGAGTCTTACTTTGCAATGAAAGTTATGTTATTCATGTCATTATCTTTTTCATTTCGTAGGAAATGTTCATTAAAAGTGATTTCTAGATTAGCAAAATCAGTACCCAAAGTAAGATTTAGCAGTGATTGTGCGTATTAGTTTTTTAATTATCAGTTTCTGGTGTCCCTTACTAAGAACCTGAACTATCAGTGCTAGGCTTTAGTGTATTTCATCAAGTCAGAAAGTATTTTATGAACAAATTCACCAAGAGCCGAGCCATTGATACCAGAAGGTTGCTATTAAGCCTGCTTCTCATTGCCTAGGTTTTGTATTTCGATGGGATTGAAGTGGTTTGACATCGTTTACGCAATAGGATCGTGTAGTAAAGGCAACCTAGTTGGATGTACCTTCGTCACAACATATTAGTTTTCATAGCTACGAGTAATGGGATCGAGTTTGGCCCCATGCATATTTAATAACTTTATTGTGGAGGTATGAAGACCAAGATGGTGTGGCCTTTTGTGTGGTCGCAGTCTCCTTTCGTTGAATAGAGCTTGTTTGAGACAAGTGAAGCGGATTCTTTGACCAAACGTGTGCTAAATAATTGTGGTATCTCCCCTTCTGCCCTGGTCTATTCACATTTCCTATATCCTCTATCATGCCTTTACTGTTACACTTTTTACCGTGCTCATTTAGATGTGGTGTGGTGGGCTCTTTTGGGCGGAATTCATGAAAACCCTTCACACTCCACACTGTCGTTCCCACCCCCTTCACCCTTGTGCTGGGAATGTGGATCAGAGTCTGCTATATCGTTACGCAGTCCTCCCTCCCTAGGCCTTACCACAGTCTCTCTCTTGCCCCGTAAGATCCGTCTGCCCTCTCCCTGGTTCACACATTTCACTCGACCCCTGTCACCCCATCTGTGCCACTCGAGGCGCTATTCGCCCTCCCCTGCATCTGGGTGACTAATCTAAGGCTAAAGCCTCTAAGTAAGTCTCATCGTCAAGCCTTTGCTAGATGGATCACGTCTATGGTACAGCAGACCTAATATCAGTCAACTAGATCCAGTCTCCTCTCCTGTTTCTATCCGTAATACTAAATCTATGACTTGCTATGCCGTAGTCTCTTGTGTGCTAACCCACAAATGTTGTGGTATTGCTGGTTTTGATTAGGTTCAATGCTGGACCACAACATTTATGGGTTGGCACACAAGAGACTAGGGCATAGCACGTCATAGACATGTTATCATAGTTAGAAAGAGGAGACAAACAGTGGAAACTAGAGCTCTTTAAGTAAAAATAGTCGTGATTCAAGGATCATTTATATGATCAAATACGTCTATTGTTAGCCAAATAGCTATAGTCACCACCGCGTCTTTCCTGTTTCTATCTGTAATACCATGTCTATCACTTCCTATGTCCTAGTTTCTTGTGTGCTAACCCACAATTGTTGTGTTTCTATTTGTTTTGATTAGGCTCGCTGAATACGTCTCCTCTTGGCTTGTGATATTTTCTTTCTGGTCCACTTGCGATTTCTTTTCCTAAGATTAAGGATATTACCTTGATCCAGTTGTCTTCATTTTGCTGATCTTTCTGTTGCCTGGAATTCTTCGAGTTTGTTTAGGCAGTATGCAAAGTTTTCGCTGATCCTGCCTTCTTCAAGTCTCCTGTTCATTAGAGTTCTCTCGCTCGGTATTTCGATGGCCTCTCGAATCTTGCATTTTCTCGCATTTTCACCACATGCAACCAACCTTTCGGTCTATTTCCAGTCGATTTCATGTCCCGTTCGGGCATTGTGTTCCGCTATTTCGGATATCTCCGTATCCATGTTCCTGCAGAGTCTTTGGTGTTCCTTGATTCGTAGACCGATTTTTTTTCCTGTCTCACCGATATACTTCTGCTCACAGTTGCCGCATTTGATGCGATAAACTCCCAAGCAAGCAAGTTTGTCAGTCTTCTCGTGTTGTGTCGGCAGACTTGTGAGGAGTGTTTTCCTCTTCTTTTATTATCACCTTGATATTCCATTGCCTTAGTAACGGTCGCAATTGATGGCTCAGTTCTGATGAGGGCAGGCAAATCCACTTTTGGTTGTTATCCTGATTCCTGATGTGATTTTCTTAAAATCCAAGTTGAAATCGGCCCTTTATAATCTCTACATTTTATTCTATAAATTCTCTGGTGTATCTGTTGCTAAGGCAAATCCGTGTCAGTTTGTCCAACTCCTCGTCCCAGAACTCATTGTCCGTTAGTAGTAAACTTCTGATGATCAAACTCCTCATTATTCCGAGCTTCAGTCTGTAGTTATGATGGGACTAAAAATAAAGGATTATTCCCTATATGAATTCTTTCTGTATATTCTCCTCATGAGTTTCCCTTTGGATCGCATGACTTCAATATCCAGAAAGGGTAGTCGTTCATCCTCCTCCACCTTCATTTTGAATGTAATTCATTCGTCAAGTTGGTTAATAAAATTGAGGAATTCATTTAGATTTCCCTTACCATGTGACCAAAGTGCAAAGTAGTCATCCAAATATAGCATAAGAACTCTTGGTTACAGTGGCGACTTCTCTATTCCCTTTCCAACTTGTAGATACTAAGAGAAACTGGGTGTCA